ACCTATGACATCATGTTTAGAGGGCGGCCTAAAAGCTTCACTGCCACATTCTTGCACACTAATGGTATTTATATGCATCAGTGACCAAAAAAAAAATAAATAAATGAAAATTGACTTTTTAATGTATTCTTATTCTCCATTTGTAAGCTTTAAAATGATGGATCATTTACTGGAATCGACTTACTATTGCGAATGTTATGAGTAAAAGTATTGTGGTTTCTCTTTCTGTACTTTTGCCAATTACTGTACTCAGTTTAATAATTAGTGACAATATATTGGTTATGGAATGTCAAGCCTCGTATATTATATTTAAATTAATAGTTAAGGAATGTGGCATCTGTAGGGTGTCAGATAATTGATTCATTGATTGATTGATCCATTGACTGATTGATTAATTGGTTTATTGATTGATTGGTGTTTGATTGATTGTTTAATTAATTAATAATAGTGTGAATGGCTATTTGATTAGTCCATTTAATAGATTGATCAGCTGATTGGTCAATATGATAAATGTTTTGTTGGTTGGTTGGTTATTCAGTTGATTGAAAGATTGATTGTTGGTTGATTGGTTAGTTTATAGAACTGATTGATTATTTATCTCTTTATTTTGTTTTTCAGAATTACTTTGAAGACAACATTGATGACGACAAGTACTTAGGTCACTTATATGGTCTTGGGTCATCGTACGTGCAGAATGGCAATGCGTTCGGTGACGAGAACAACCTGTCGTCGTAGCAGTAGCGTCAGAATCCGCCATGTTAAATCTGTACAGAATGGAGGACCAGGCCTTTTGCAAGTTCTCAATGCTAAATGTTGAACATCAATTTTTTTTCTCGCCTATTTGTATATTATAGTAGAATTTTAAACCTTCGTATTTTGAAACATTGTACTGTGTATGTTCCTTTGTGTACTCACGTTTGTAGTCTGTGTCCCAATTCCAGATTTATTCTTGTTGCCAAATTCTTAAGCATGTAATTTCCCCTATGTTCTGTAGCTTCAGATTCCTATACGTTTTAGATTTTAAATATTATTATAGTATATATTATATTTTCAGTAATCTGAACAAGGAAACTGCTCTTAGAATAAAGATGTGTATAAGAGACAGACGCGGTCCTTAGTCGACGTAACTATTAAATGTGATTTGGCTCAACGACTTCAACCTATGACATCATGTTTAGAGGGCGGCCTAAAAGCTTCACTGCCACATTCTTGCACACTAATGGTATTTATATGCATCAGTGACCAAAAAAAAAATAAATAAATGAAAATTGACTTTTTAATGTATTCTTATTCTCCATTTGTAAGCTTTAAAATGATGGATCATTTACTGGAATCGACTTACTATTGCGAATGTTATGAGTAAAAGTATTGTGGTTTCTCTTTCTGTACTTTTGCCAATTACTGTACTCAGTTTAATAATTAGTGACAATATATTGGTTATGGAATGTCAAGCCTCGTATATTATATTTAAATTAATAGTTAAGGAATGTGGCATCTGTAGGGTGTCAGATAATTGATTCATTGATTGATTGATCCATTGACTGATTGATTAATTGGTTTATTGATTGATTGGTGTTTGATTGATTGTTTAATTAATTAATAATAGTGTGAATGGCTATTTGATTAGTCCATTTAATAGATTGATCAGCTGATTGGTCAATATGATAAATGATTTGTTGGTTGGTTGGTTATTCAGTTGATTGAAAGATTGATTGTTGGTTGATTGGTTAGTTTATAGAACTGATTGATTATTTATCTCTTTATTTTTGTTTTTCAGAATTACTTTGAAGACAACATTGATGACGACAAGTACTTAGGTCACTTATATGGTCTTGGGTCATCGTACGTGCAGAATGGCAATGCGTTCGGTGACGAGAACAACCTGTCGTCGTAGCAGTAGCGTCAGAATCCGCCATGTTAAATCTGTACAGAATGGAGGACCAGGCCTTTTGCAAGTTCTCAATGCTAAATGTTGAACATCAATTTTTTTTCTCGCCTATTTGTATATTATAGTAGAATTTTAAACCTTCGTATTTTGAAACATTGTACTGTGTATGTTCCTTTGTGTACTCACGTTTGTAGTCTGTGTCCCAATTCCAGATTTATTCTTGTTGCCAAATTCTTAAGCATGTAATTTCCCCTATGTTCTGTAGCTTCAGATTCCTATACGTTTTAGATTTTAAATATTATTATAGTATATATTATATTTTCAGTAATCTGAACAAGGAAACTGCTCTTAGAATAATTGATAATTCTTATTGAAAAAATTGCAATATTTGTAGAAAATGGTTTTAATATAGATAACTTATTTTTTGAAAAAAAGTCATAATTTTTAGTTATTGAGTTAATTAGGTCGATCTATTTCCCAGGTTCATTTCCTCTTTTTAGACACATCCAATCTTGTCAGACAGTCCAACCTCTGACCTTGTCAGACAATTCAACCTCTGACCTTGTCAGTCAATAATTCTGAGCAGCTTGCCATACACAACTAACTTCTGCCTTTGTCACATGTTTTTTTAAAATTTGTGCTTCTCTTACACATTCTACCTCTGCCAAACTTGCCACACACACGTATACACACCCCCACACACTTACACCATGGTGGAATTAGTTCTAATTCCTCCATGCTTACACGCAGTCTCTGTCCTAACACATCCTAACTGCATCCACCTTGTGCCATTCTCACACATCCAACCTTTACATATTTATCATCTAGTCTGTCCATATTGCGTACATCTAACACCTGCGATACTTGCCATCTTCATCCCCTGTCCTCAAGCACAGCCATCCTCAGCCATTCTCATACACTTTTGACCTCCAACCTTATTACATACTCAAACTCTGCCCAACTTACAAACCTAACATTTGCCCTTCTCACTTGCATTCCACCTTTGCCCTTCTCGCTCGCATTCGACCTTTGCCCTTCTCACTCGCATTCAAAATTTGCTCTTCTCACCGCACTCAACTTTTTGCTCTATTCTCAAACATGTACCATTTGCTGTTAGTTTATCCCCAACTTGTTATTTTTGTGAACATCTTCAACATATCCTCATAACCTTTACCCTTTCCACATGCATTTAACCCCAGTACTTGTCACAGATCCAGCCCCTGTCCTTGTGTCACTCAAAAGTTTAAATAATGAATGTCTATGGTTTTGATCATCATCAAATGCAAATCTTGCCAATAGTAGTCATCCACCATAATCAATCAAATAATTGAAATCACTGTCACTGGATTATGCTAATGAACTCATGAATATGTTAATCTTTTATCATAATAGATAATGATGACTATGATATTGGATAAGTTTTACTTTCAAACTCTGTACCAAAACCAACATACATTTTCATGTTTTTGAAATTTGTATGCCTTTAATTCACTCAAAATAGATCAGTTTTTCTCACATTACATATTTTTGGGAATTTTTGATTTATTTTTTTTTTATTCTGTATATTTGAAAAAAAAAGCTTAAAATGTAAACAAATATTTGGTCAGCTTTGAAACTCAAATTTTTATTATGAAGTACTAAAATAGACCCCCAGCCTGAAATATTTGATAGGATCTTTATTGTTATTGGTATATATATTGATGTTATTATCACTTTTATAATTAAAAATATTGTCATCATCATTACTGTCATTATTATCATTATTTTTGTAATTATTACAATTACAATAAGTTATATAATTTTTTTTATCATTTATTTTTATTATATTATGTTATTATCTATGTACTAACTAGGTATATATTATTTTATTTATATCATTTTATTATTTTATACCATATAAATATTGATATCATTTATTTTCAAGATATTTTCATTTAGATTGTAATGCTTTGTTAATTGATATATCAAATTTGTATTTTATTGGTTATTATTTATTTTTATTATTATTGCTAATTATTACATTGATACATCATCAGTATTATTTAATTATCCTTATCAAAATTATGCATAGAAATTAATAACTATTGCTGCAGTGTAGAAGGAAAAAAAAAAGAATTTAATGTGAGGACCAAAGACGTAAAGCTGATCCATAATAGTGCAATATGTATTTGCTGAATCAGTTACAGGTATGGGATCAAGT